AACTCCTCTACTAACTCATCACTCCTTCAATGGGAAAATTGACCCCACATAACACATTTTCACTTAGCACAATCATTTTCTGAAATGTATCTACCATGTTAAATGAGGAATTACTGTATCCAGTTTAACTGAGATGTGAACTTAATGTTATTTTTCACAGTTGCACTATGCATCTGTACATTACAGTGAAATATGTGCAGGTGGCTGAAGATAGCAAGTATTAAGAACATAGGCTTCTCAGTGATGAGAAGGGTAGGGGGACATGAACAGCTAGTAGATCTAGAAGGGGATATGCAATAAGAAAAGTTTGAGAACCTATGCCCTAGAGACTAAGGGCTTGTCTACACTATTTTTTTTTTACTGTTGGTATATAACCTAGGGCCTGGTATACACGTAGATTTTGTACTGGTATATTTATTTATAACACCCCTTGCCCCAACTGAAATAATTATACTGGTATAAATTGCAGTCCTGTGGCACCTTAGAAACTAACAAATATATTACCTCATGAGCTTTCATGGCTAAAACCCACTTCACAAAAGTTCATGATAGAATACATTTTTTAGTCTCTAAGGTGCCACAGGACTGTTTGTTGTTTTTAAAGTTACAGACTAACACAGCTACTCCTCTGAGACTAGTATAAATTTTGTTTATCTACAAAACAGGTATAGAAATGGCAGAAGTGCAAGTTTCTTGAGAACATAATTTAACTCTGACAGAGAGGGATCACACATAGGGGTGAAAAGTTAGTTCAAATTCCACAGCCAGCCAATTCCCTTGATACTACTGTAAAAGAGATAAAAAATAATAGTATAGACCTGATGCAGGTTCTTTTATCTCCATGTTGCCTAGACTGTCACAGATCAGGTCTAGATAACATGGTAAAAAACAGCCATGCCTTGTAACTCTCCCGCTATTGGACCCAGTGGTGAGAGATTCCCCCAGAATAGCTGCTGTAGACAAGGGCATTAAATGATTCCTACCCTTTGATGCCAAAGGCGCAGGGTAATACATCTCATTCCCAGTTTCTACACATGATCTTTTAATTTAAAGGTCAGGCTAATTGTGGTTTAACTCCTTCACACATACTCCCAAGAAAACAGACAGGAACAAAGAACCCCATCATCAACTAAGGCAGGGGAGGGCAATAATTTTTACAGGGGTACTTAATGAATTTTGGTACATGAGAATTACTATTACCAATTGGAATAATGACATCTTTTCTAAATATGTGGATACTTGACTTCTAAGACCTGGATAAAACCCAAACAATCCAAAGTTTACTAATGAGCTATGAAGAAGCTACCTGAAAGTTACAGGTGAAAAAGGGATACAATCATTTATTCATTTCAGTTATAATAAGATTAGGGCCATGGGTTAAATGTATGTTTACTATATTTTAATTTAAGTTTAATTAAGTTTCCATGTGTCATGTCCAATCCTCAGCCCTCAATTACACAAAGAAAAACTTTCGTCCTTTGAGGGAAAGTTTTAGATCCCAATTATAAAAAGAATGATGTGTGTGATCCTAGCTCAGATAGCCAGAATGCAATAAACAGAACTGCAAAAGCCACCCACCATAGTCAGTAGTGATTGGCTATTGTTTCTGGTCATCCGCTCCAGTAGCCAAGGCTTTGCGGAGCAAGTGTGTGCTCTAATTTGCTCCATGGGCTTTGAACACATACTGCCCACTCTTTTCTGGACACTTAACTCATAACCCAATCCCAATGAGCTATTCCCCCAAAATTAGTACTTTACATGTAACAGAAACTACAGATCTTTGTGGTGACTGCTAATTACAAAACCCGCCCAACGTACAATTCTTAAACAACAAAAAAAGTTGACTCATTAGAAAATAAAAACCTCACGTAAAGTCTCAAGAAGTCAGACAACATTCATGTGGATCTTCATCTCAGATTTTATAAATATTTGCTGTAACATTTTTCATGAATATTCAAGACTATGGGAGGCTGCCTCCCACATCTTTTTGCAAACTGAAGTCAGGGTTTTCTCTTCAGTGCCACTCAGCCAGGTGAATGTTCAAGGTAAAAGTTAAACTTCTGAAGGAAGGTCCTGGGAGGTCACATCGGTGCTCAGCACAGAGGGTAAAAGGAAAAGAAATTATCTCAAAGAGGGGCGTTAATCAGAAGGGTGTGTTTCTTTCCCTTCCAGATGGCTGAAGCAAGGAAAGTCTCAGGAGATTATTAACTAATGTTTTTCATTTCATTTTTTTTTTAAATCTGTGACTGATTAGTGAATAAAAATGTTTGCTTTGAGGAAAGAGCCTTAAAAAGTTCTTGATGCCTTTATTTCCCTTCTCTGATTAGTGAAATAACCCACCAATTTAAAGAAGGCCATTGATAAAGTTTAGCACGTGTAAGTATTTGCAAGATCAGGAATTTAGCTTATTACTATTTCTAATAGCAATAGTTATAAACTTTTCTACTCTCTTATTTTATTCATAGACTATCAAATATGGAAGGGATTTTTGTGATCATTTCTAGATTTTAGCCAGACTAAAATAATACAGGCCATAGTAGCTCGCTGTATGTTAGAAATATAGTGTACCATTAAAAGAAGCCAACCTTGATTTAAAAAATTATTAGCGATGAGAGACTCCACCATAAACCTTGGTAAATTATTAGTTAGAAATTATAATGGGAGATTTAATCTGATCTGTTTTAATCTAATTTCAATCTAATCAAGTAGACAAGACTTCACTCTGAACTCTTATACAGATGAAGTTAAGGATTTGGGATAGTACAAGCAAGTTTGATTCTTTAAAAGAAATGCCTAGTCATTGTAAAGGTCAATTTGGGCCAGAAGGAATCTGTCATAAGAACAGAAAAGAAACTGAAATTAAAACAAATTAGGTAAATTTGTAATAAGATACAACTGACATGAGAAAGACAGTAAGTATCTGCCTCTACAGGCAGTAACATCTATTGTTATTATCAAGCAGTTATATAATGATACAGAATTGTCCTGCTTAATTAACAGCAGTTCCAAATGCTCAAAGTTTAGGATTTTCTTGCTAGATGTAAGTATCTCTAAAAAGCTTCAAAGGTTAGTATTAAGAAAGACTTAGGAAATTAGGTTAGTATAACTTTGTCATTCAAGAGTGTGAAAAAAAAATCAACCTAACTCTGACTGCATCTGCATGGAAGTGCTACTGTGGCATAGATGCACCACTGCAGAATTTGTGTAGATGAACCCTTGTAGCAATTCACAGAATCAATCTTGACAAAATCTGGACCAAATAATGAAGCTTATTTGAACACAGACCTAGAATCCCACAGATTCCATTTCTTCCAGTGAAGACAGAGGTGAGGAGTACAGAGGAGAAAAAAAGATAAAAAACATACAACTTGAAACTCTATTTGCTGTGCATTGTTGTTTACTTCTTGGCAGCCCTGAAGAGTCAACACTCGGGATTAATCAGACACATATAATAATATACTGGTACACAGTAGTCTAAAGGCAGGGTAAAAACAAATCTGTGACAAACTCTCAGAAACATAACAATCAGCCCTACCAAATATCTGTAGTCCTACTAAGAATTTGGACCCAAAATAACACAGAACAGGAAAATTCACACACAAAATCAAATTCATGGTGTCTTCAGATGGTGCACCTCTACTTGACTATTATAGTTCATATGAGCACTCTAAGGGTATGTCTACACTACCCGCTAGTTTGAACTAGCGGGGGTAATGTAGTCATCCGCAGTTGCAAATGAAGCCCGGGATTTGAATTTCCCGGGCTTCATTTGCATGAAGCCAGCCGGCGCCATTTTTAAATGCCGGCTAGTTCGGACCCCATGCCGCGCGACTACACGCGGCACGGACTA